AATCTCAGGTTGATTGAAAGGAAACTGAATGTAGGCATTGAGGTCGAAAAAGTATAAACTGTGGTGTTGATCTTTCTATCCTTTCGCTCTTTTATTTCCTTACATTCTTTATTTGCTTGTATTCCCAAAAAGGTTCAAAGACTTTGGAAACGTTTTTAAAAAGAACATTTTTTAGTAAAAAAAACCAATTCACCCCATCTTGGTCGAGAAACTAGGCCAATTTATTTCTACAATTGGTACCAGCGATGGGAATTTGAATTTTACTCAAATTATAATCGATTAAGTTTTCAGTGTAATCGATTATTTTGATCCTAATGGCCAGTATTTCTCTGACCATGAGTAAGAGTCAATTTAATGATTTTTTCTTGAATGTAACCAGTAAAAATATGAGTAATTCTATCATTAACAAATCTTATGATTTCTTTAAGACAGGAGCATCTTGGAAATCAACTCAAGAAAAAGAAAGAAGAACCAACATTATGAAATTAGAGGTAAAAGAATCCAACCCGATGACATAAAAGTTCACAAAATTCCTGTTGAAGAAAAGGAAAGCTGACAACAATTCTGAGGAAGATATGAAGCAGTGTAAAGACCAACATTTGTAGCAAACAAATTTAAGTATGATGGTAAAATCAAATCCAACTAGATTCATCATCCTTTCTTACAAGACAAGTGGCCACGTCACATATGGAGACAATAATAAGGGTAAAATAGTTGGTATCGGTAAAATTCAAACACCCTCTTCATATATGATTGAAAATGTTTTGCTTGTTGATGGATTAAAACAAAATCTTCTCAGCATCAGTCAACTTTGCGATAAAGGATTAAAGGTTACTTTTGAACCTAATCATTGTTTTATCTACCATGAGTCTTCAAATGAGCTTGTGTTAATTGGAAAAAGATATAACAACATCTATATGGTTGATTTTACAAAAACTTCTTTTAAATCTGTTATCTGTCTTTTATCCAAAGATGATAATCCATGGCTATGGCATAAAAGACTTGCTCATATTCATATGTCTCATTTAAACAAGCTTGTCTCTAGAAACCTTGTAATTGGTTTGCCGAACATAAAGTATGATTCTGACAGACTTTGTGATGCTTGTCAAAATAGGAAGCAAACAAGATCATCTTTTAAACCTAAGAGAGTAGTATCTACTACTAGACCTCTTGAATTGCTTCATATGGATCTGTTTGGCCCCTCAAGAATCAAAAGTCTAGGTGGAAATCTTTTTGGCCTGGTTATTATTGATGATTATACTAGATATACCTACACTTGGTGTTTGCATTTTGTTTATAATGGTAGCTTAAGTATGCTTCGTTGATCATTAGTGAAATTGCACCGTTTCCATGAGAATTCTGGACTATGAATTGGTATTTTGTTGCTCTTGCCTTACTTAATATTAAATTTGTTTGTGCACTTGCAATTAGGTATACGCTTAATTTCCTAATTGATGTTTAATCTCCGCTTAGTTGATCAAACTATGTGGTGCAAAATTGATTGAATATGAGCATTGTGTTTGCTTAATTCGCAGTTTTGAAGACCGGATTAATCTTCGCTTTGTTGATTAATTCGTGTTGGATTAAGGGTGAGAGTAGTGTTTAATCATTGTGAATATGTGATTGGAAAAATGCAATTGAGCTAGTGACTAATCATTTTTAATTAGTGTTTGAATTTGTGTTTGAATTGGTTTAGTTAAGTTCACAAAACTATCCAAAAACCACCCCCACTACGTTTTTTATCTAATGAATGAACCAAAGTTTGGTCCTTGAGAGACGACCAAGGAGTCACTTCCTAGTTTATACTGCACTTTAATTGCATATTAATTTGATTCAGGTACGACCTCGATCAATTGACAACGGATTTTTGAAGGTATACTTGAATGAGATCTCTATAAATTGGATTGAGACTCTCATTCTAATATACAACATACTAAATAAGTGTATTTTGAAATTATTATCTACAGTGTGAAGTGATAAGTGTTCTAGGCTTGGTGTAACCCTTGTGTTGTGCCTTTGAGAACATGACATGTTGGCATAGAGCGAGAACTTTCACTAGGAGTGTGATTTAGTGTTGTTGTTGTTACTGAGTTGAAAGTCTTTCATCCTTTATGAAGATTCAAAGGAGGTGTTCATCATTTGTGAAGATTCAAAGGAGTTGTTCATCCTTTGTGAAGATTCAAAGGAGGTGGCCATCCTTCGTTAAGCATTCGGAGGAGGTGTTCATCCCTTGTAGGTTGCAGGAGAAGTGAGTTTCATCTCTTGGGGTAACAAGAGAGGTGTTCTAACCTTCAAATTTTTTATTTTCTTTGTGATTGTAACAATTTATTGGTTTATGCTAGTGAAGCATTAATTCTCAGTTGAGATTAACAACCAGACGTAGGATCTGTGTGATTCGAACCAGTATAAAAATTACCAATGCAATTTTCTCTCTTCCTTACTCTTTAAATTTGTTTAAATTGTTTTAAGGAATTTATATTTACTTGAGAAAATTATTAAAAGAACGATTTGCAATAAGAATCCAATTCACTCCCCTCTTGGTTTGTTGAACGTGTTAACTGCTTCGCTGCACCGCTCTGACAGGTTGTTGGGAACAACCTACATGAAACTCTTTCATCTTGAGTATTGAAGTTGACCTGGAATGGGTAAGCCTTTAGATATTTGGTCAGGTTATTTGTTTCGCCGCACTTCGAATATGGATGAGGATTCCTTTAGGGATTCAGATATTGGCCACTTCTGTCATGAAAGGACGTAAGTTCTTGACCAAGCCAATCTTATTTCAGGAATTCTTAGTGTGTACTCGAGTAGTCTAGTGTTTTTTCCGACCTATATGCTTGCCGGGGTGCCCTCTAAAATCCTGGAACTGCATTGATTATGCATCTCATCTACGATATCTGTGCCTGTCGGGCTCCCGTTTAGAGTGGAAGAAGCATCCATGGGTTTCTTCCACCAATGTTGGGTTGACCTATTTCAGTTTCTTCTAGTCTGGTGTTGGTCGTGATGGAAGTGGTGGGAACATCCACAGGTTCCTTCTATTCTATGCTTAGTAGACTTGCTCCAATCTCCTTGAGCCTGGTGTTGAGGAGAGTGGTCTCGATTCGCATGTGAACCTCTCCAAACGGATGGGTTGTGCCTTGTTTAAGAATTTCAGGGGTCCTCTTCAAGAGGTTTAAAGCGAGTTCGAAGAGATGACCTCTCATTCTTGAGGCAAATCAACCTTTGCTAAAGTTCCTAGAGCTCGTGTAGGTTAACTTGTTATTGTGTGTGCTGGGCTTCAATCTCAGTATCATATTCCTTACGCTATTCTTTATGGTGTTGTATGTGTATTTGCACTTGCTAGTAAAGGGTTGCCACCTTGTTGACTTCCATCTCGTGGGAGATTTGAGCGAACCTTCGAGTGGTGACCATAGGGAGGTGAGGCCCTGGAAACGTTTTACGAGGGCCATACAGTGATGCCAAATAATCTTACTAGGATCTTGAGCATATGCATTTATGGACAGATATCAAGATTCTAGCGGTGGCTTGAAAGCTCTTATTTGTCAGAATTGCATCTCTTTCTATTTAGAGTGGGAGATCCACCCGCAAAAGACTATCTGACGCTTAAGTTATTAAGAAAATTTAGATCTTTATGAATATAATGAGTATGAATAATTATTAAGTGAGTATTAAAAAAAGATACTAGTTGTATTTATAAGATTGACATGCATCATAGACCTATAATAACATAATAATAATCATAATATCAAATTTTCGAGATTAATTATAGTGTGTCGATATTAGTTGAATGCTTTGAACTATTCCAAAATAAAAAAAGCTTAAGCAACTTTTGAACCATGTTCTTTAGTATATATTAGCCGGAGAGTAACATTGATTTTTTTTTCTAGTAACATAATAATTTATCTCATCAATTCAAATATGTTCAACTTAAAAAGTTTTTACTTTTCTCATCAACGACATATTAATTCATTAATTTTGTAGCTGATCTAACATCCTAAAAATAACCATAGAGAAGTATAATGTTAACATTTAGACGCCATAAATAGAATGGACTAACCAAGGATTAGCCCCAAAAACTCAAACCTGAAGATTACCTTAATGATATTAATCATTTTTCTATTCAAACCCTTAACTAATTAATACGTTGTATTCTTTGATGCGTTAATTACTTGATTAAATAGTGAAATTTAAAACAATTAATGGACAAATAAAAACTAAAGATATTCCATTTTTAATTAATACTCTTGCTCTTTTTTTCTCTCTAGCACGTGTTGTTTTGGATTATTGACCAGTCAATCGATCTACTATATTATGTTACATTTCAGTAATAAAATGAAATAACATTGTTAAATAGTTTTATATTTATTTTATAATTGTATAGATATTTATATATCACGTGACTCTAATTCAAAAAATACAATTTTATTTTATTTTATTATATACCCTAATGAAATTAATGGGTTTTAATATCTATTTGTCATAATTAATATTAAAATTTTACCTCAATATCAAGTATAATGAGATACTTATATATATATATATATATATATATATATATATATATATATATATATATTATTTTTAAAATGTTATTTCATTAATTAAATTCATTTCAAATATTGAACTAAAACATTACTAAATGTTTAAAATTTATGTTCTTATATTTCTCTATGTAGAAATATTCGTATGAAATTCTAATGATTTTACCATATTCTAATTGATGCAAACAAGGGACAAACAAAAACTATTGATGCCAAAAAGCAGAAGTATCCAGAAAACAATAAATGATCCAAATTCAATGTATATACCCCACACCTCTTTCTGCGCTCTAAATAAAAATAATTAAATATACAATATACTACAATATTCCTAACAAAATAGAATACCAAGAAAGTTACTCACACCACAAATATCCTAACTGGGTTGTCCCCTATTAAAATATATTACATCTTTGTGCCCAATTATAAACTTGACATTAAAGTATTCATTTCGTTTTCATTTTTTGGGGCACCCCAAAATTTTCAAGGGACAAACATGACTTTATTTTTTCAATGGGAAAACCTACAAGCAAGCCCATGTTATCTTGTTCTTTTCCTTCATCTTGTTCTTTTTTTTCTTTTTTAGCAAATCTCTTTCTTATTTAAAAGATGAAGCAAGCAAACAGAATCCTCTCTTTTGATCTTGGTTTCATTCCTCATCAAATCACTTCTCCTCCCTTTATAGAAATCTTAGATCTGCTTTTAACACAAGGTGGTGGTGGAATCTCTTCACCAACTTTGGATTAGAGACATATAAATAGAAAGAGTTGAAGAAGAAGAACAAGAAGAAGAAGAAGAAATTACAAGTTACTTGGCAAGGTGGATCCAATGCAAGGGAAGAGTTCTCCCCCTCTTGATGAGGTGAAAAAAGAAGCTTTCAACTTTCCTATTCCTCTCACACCATCTCAAAATCCAAAAGAACAAGCTTCATCATCAACCTTTTCAAACTTTCTTATGACTACCAACCATCAAAACACCACCTTCTTCCCCACTCCACATGGTCAAATAACCACTTCTAAATTTATCAATACCCAAGATCCATCTCAAGCTACAAATCAAGGTAAACTGATTATTTCAAGCTTGATTGATTATCATCACTATCATCTTCATTTTATTACCATCAATGAATCTAGATCCCTATCCCATGATTTTTTTCTTTCATTTTGGAAATTCTAATATATATCTTCTTGTGTGAGATTATTAGATAAAGGTTACCCCACTGTTTTATCCTCTAACATATTCAAAGATATTTTCACCGAATGCAACTTACGTGATACTTCTTCTCTCTCAAAAGTAAAGGAAAAAATAAAAAATAAAAAACACCATAAAGTTAGTTTCTGCCATATTTTGTTCTTTTCCTCTCCAAAAAACAAAAAACAAAACTTCACCTGTTACTGCATCTGCACAACCTTCTCGAATCCTCGATCTGCTAATAACAAAGAGAGTTGAATTTGACACGTTTCCATTTTCTACCCTCTGTATTATCATTATTGACTCCCATGTTCCATCTGTGTTTTTTCTAGTCTACCTTTGACCACACTAATAAATGTTCTGCATTCAGTTTCACATTGCATTTTTCCACTTTCCTTGTATCTTTGCTCGCTCTAGTCTTCAAAATGGACCAAACTTTAACTCAGATATGCTTGTTTTAATGAAATGAAAATCAAAGTTTTGCCGTGTAATTCATGTATTAAATGTTGAATGCAAATTTTTCCGTAAGCAAAACTGCAACTCTGATACAAGAACACTGAGTCTTATTTCTTTTTCTTTGCGCTTGCAAGTAAACTAGAGTAGAATGTTGCAGACTAACTGGAAGAATCAATGTTTGATATTTGAAGGTAATGCTGATCTTAGGAAAAGGCACTATAGAGGAGTTAGGCAAAGACCTTGGGGAAAATGGGCAGCTGAGATAAGAGACCCTAAGAAAGCAGCGAGAGTGTGGCTTGGCACCTTTGACACAGCAGAAGCTGCAGCAATGGCCTATGATGTTGCTGCATTGAAGTTCAAAGGAAACAAAGCCAAGCTCAATTTTCCTGAGCGTGTTGCTGTGCCACCACCATCACCGGAAACCACCACCACCATTTCTTCAGCTTCTGCACAACCCTCTTCCCTCACGTCACCACCACCACATGTTGGTGGCGATCATCAAAGTCTAGAAACATCAGAAGAAGCAGAAGGGTTTCCAAGTCTGATGGAGTATGCACGGTTGCTGAAATGTAGGGATGATGATGATTTCCAACGTGTTGCATTGGGGCTTTACCAGCACCATCCCAATGAGGATGTTATCTACGGTTCATCTCAGCCACCACCTGCGCCATTTTTTCTGTCTTCTTCATCTTCTTCTACATTTGCATCTTCAACTTCTCAGGGTGATTATGGTTCTTCTGGATTCTTTAGTCAAGGAGGGAGTGGTTTTGATGAAGGGAACAAGAGAGGATCATAGTGTTTCTTTTCTCTGAATTCTGAACACTGCATGAATGTGGGAATTGGAGGGTAGTGCCACAATTAAGGAAGTTCAAATCACACATCTCTTATTTGTTTTCTTTTTAATTCAAATTAAAAAATAATGCATGAGGTCAAAAGTTAATAATACCACTTTTTTTTTTCTCCATGTAACATTTTCTATTCAATATCTATTTAATATTAATAAAATTAATGTTTTTATTTACAAACATAAAATAAATTGAGCTGAATCAGGAGAAAAAGTGAAAAGAAAATCATTAAGTCTTAAAGGGTAGAGAAAAACTGAAAAGTTTTTACATATAAAATTTGTTAGATATTTATTATTTTTTTGACAATTTAATTTTTTCAATAGACTTACTTTAGCTGTAAATAGATCAGAAAATATATGTAATTTTAAATATTTGTGTAATTATTAATGTGGTATAAAATGTCCTAATCAACATATTCACAGGAACAATTTATTTGATAAAGTTTAAGTGCAATTAATTTCTAATTAAAATGAAAATTTGGTCCTAACAATCATGCTGATGTTAATGTCTGACTTTTATTAGTTGAATATTTGGAGTGAAGCTATAATTGTAACCTATATTTTATTCAATTTTCTTTAAGGGGTCGACAGGTAAAATTGATGAAAATAATAATCAAGCGAGAGGTTACATTTTAATAATAATATATATGTTTAAAGAAATAATAACGAAGCTGCTAAGAAAGAAAGACAAGTGATTCTCGTCTACAATTTGGGAATGCACCATCGATTTTTGGTAATGGTGATTAAACTTTAAGACATAATTTTACTTCAATAAAATTAGTAAATTTTGATTTTGGCATCTATAACAGTTATTTTATTCTTTTCAAATTAAAATTGTTATTGTAAAATTACATGACACATTGATTAAGTATTAAATAAATTATCAAAGTAATTATTTTAATATTAAAAAGTTTTTATTATAAATAGTTTTGTTAGAAATAAGTTTCTTTATTTTAAAATACATCATTTCAAAAATAATTTTTTTAGAGTTTTTTACTTCTCTTTAAGAGTTTTTGTTTTCTCTGTTTGTTTGATTGAATAATTGAGATCGTATAAGTGATTCTTATGACGAGCTCTTTTAATATGGACCAATCAATTTTTTCATTTGTATAATTAAGTTTCAACTCCTTTTTCTTGGTCTTTTATATTATTTGTTGTATGTGAGTCTTCTTTCACTTGCTTGCATCTTTTTAGTCTTCTATGTGAGTCGTTGATCAATGATTCTAATGGTATATTCTGATTGTCCTTGTGTCGTTTCCATGTGGAAATAGAATATCTACAAGTTAGGAGTATTTTCACTAGGTAAGGTCTTATAAGGGAAGCTAGTCTTGACTTGCTTTGTAAGGTTCTTGTTAAATTGATGAATGCATGTTGATGGTTGATTTTATGTTGAGGATAAACTTTAGTTGTTTTTGATGAATTTAATTTGTGTGAATATGGTTGATTTAGTTTGCATGGTTTAAATGATTGGTTCATGATTTTGTGCTTGTTTTTACCTTGGGTTTGTGTGACTGAGCGAGAATTTATTATTTGAACAATTGAGCAAATTGGTATGAGTTTTCATGTTTAAAATTGTTTGGAATCAATATATTGAGAAAAGAGTACAAATTTGATCAATTGATCAGGTCAAAGTTCACTAAAAATCACAAAATCTATTTGTTGTCAATTGATATGACGTTGAGCGGTATTAAAGTGGTGTTGAGTGTTAGTTTATGCTACAGGTATGGGAGTATTTTAGCTATAGGGTGTTGAGCAATTATGAGGTCGTACCCGAATCAAATTAGTATATAATAAAATACAGTATAAACAAGGAAATGACCCTTAGGTCGTCCCTTAAGGACCAAATATTGGTTCAATCATTAAATCAAATACTTGGTGGGGGGTTTTATGAAGAGATTTTGTGTACTGAAATAAACTAACTAAAGCACGGATTCAAACACATATTTAAAGACAATTTGGTCATCAGCTTAGCTACAATGCTTCCAATCCTCGATTAACAATCAATTAAACACTACTCTCACCCTATTCCAACATCAATCAATCAACTAAGCGAAGATTAATTGGGTTTTCCTAAAATCGAATTAAGCAAATGAATTGCCCACATTTAATAAATCCTACACCAAATAGATTAATTGACTAAGTGATAATTAACCCAAATCAAACCATTAAGCATGTTTTACTCATTAGTGCACAATAGATTCAATGAAATGCAGGTCAGTGTAGTAGATTCACATTTAATGCCCAGAAATCTCAAGGAAAGCATTGCAACTTCACTAATGATCAAACCAAACTGATTAAACATCCATTCAAATGAAATACCCAACAAAAAATGCAACTCTAAGCATAAAAACAAAACTGAAATTGCAAACAAATTGAAATAGTAAAGCGAAATTGGAGAGCTAAATGAGAAAAATCAATAGAGCTTCAAACGAAACAGAATCGCAAGACTGGAACGAAATTCAAATGCGAAATTAAATTGGAAATTGAAAACTAAAATGCAATAACAATTGTAAATGAACTCATAAATGCAAAATCAAGAACGAAACATAAAACGAAAATGAAATTGCAATTTAAAAACGAAATTCATTAAGTAATTGAAAGGGAAAGGAAACTAAACCTAAAAACCCAAAATTGGGGGAGCTAAAACGAGAATGGGAAGAGAGGGAGGCGTTTTGCCCCCTTTGGGTACTAAAACCCTAGTCAAAGGTCAAACCACAAATTGGGCTTTTACAATTTTGACCCAAAATTGGCCCAATCCAAATTTGTCCAACAATACACTAAAAATGAATTTACAATTTGAATTAAATCTAAAGTGCCTATGTGGAAAGTGGAGAATGATGTAGCAATCCTTTAATATCCCAAAATAAGAATCCAAAAATTTCCTTACAATTAATAATGACAATAATTAGCCTCAGATAATTCAAATTAATTAAAATAAGAATTATTGGTCAAATTAAGCCCAAATATCAAAATTGAGGAAATATTGGATAATTAGACACAACTCCCTAATCAAATTCAGTACAAAAAGCTAAGTGAATAGTAAAAAATATTGATTCATCAATCTTCCTTTTGTGAGAGCACATGCTGGATACTTCGAAATTTGCTTGATGACATCAAGTAGAGGTATGTTCACCTCCACTTTTCTGAAAGTCTCCAAGATCTCTTTATCTACCTCTTCCATCTTTTTTCTTGGAATTACTTTTACAGGGAATGGAAGAGGGATCGAACGGTGCGTCAAGTTGGAAGAAGTACTAGTGCTGGTGGAACAAGAAAAAGATCCACCTGAAGAAGAAGAAGAAGATCCACCTGCGTCAAATGTCCTACTTGGACTTGCCTGATCCTCTTTTCTCTAAGATGTAGCAAGGTCAGGCTGAGGTGCAAGTGTAGGTGCAGGAGGTGGCATTGTAGGTATAATAATATGCTTCCCAGAGCTTAGGGCGATGACACTAACATTCTTCAGATTCTACACAGTCTAGGATGATAATTTATCAGAATTTTGAGACTGTGCCTGACTGAGCTGTGTAGCCATCTGCCCCATCTAATTGTTCAAACTCTAGAGGGAAGCTTTTGTCTCCTGTTGAATCTGCATATTCTGAATTTTCATCTACCTCACTAGCTATTCCAATGTAGGCTCAAAAGAAGTGGAAGGTTGAGGAGCTGTCTGGGTAGGTGTGTGTTGTTGTTGTTGCCTTTAGTATTGTTGGATAGATGGAGGCACATAGGGTCTACTCAGACCTACATCATTTTGGAATGGTGGTGGCTGCTGCTTCTTGTGAGCATTAGACCATCTCAGATTTGGATGATTCCTCCACCCTGGGTTGTATCTGTTACTTGAGAGGTCATAATTTTGTTGTTGTGGCTACCTGTTGTTGTAGATGTTTGTAGCATAGGCTTGAGGAGCAACTAGGCCAACTGGTTACTATAAAGAAGGACAAACATCTGTATAATGACCACTAGAAGGGCATATGGCACATAGACGTGCAACAGATGTAGATGTAGATGTAGGTCTCTCATTATTGGCCAACTGGTCACCAAACTCACGAGAGCATCGAGCTTGCTCTCCAACTTTCTATCTGTAGATGATGAATGATTAGCCACATCATGAACTCCCCCTCACCACAATAGCATCATTTCTCGCACTAAATTGCTGGGAGTTGGAAGTCATCTTCTCAATCAGATGTCTGGCTTCAGCAGGCGTCATGTCACCAAGCGCTTCACCACTGACAACATCAATCATACTGCTCTCCATATTGTTGAGACCTTTATAGAAGTATTGAAGGAGGAGTTGCTCAAATATCTGATGGTTTGGGAGCTTGCACACAACTTCTTAAATCTTTCCCAAAACTCGTACAAGCTTTCATCACCAAGTTGTCTAATCCCAGAAATGTCTTTCCTTATGAATATGGTCTGGGATGCTTGGAAGAATTTCTCCGAAAACAATCTCTTGAGATCATCCCAGCTACTGATGGATCCAGGCGCAAGGTAATATAACCAATCCTTTGTCGCGCCTTCCAAACAATGCGGGAACGCCTAGAAGAAAATGTGATCTTCAAGGATATCTAAAGGCTTCATCGTTGAACAGACTATGTGGAACTCCTTCAGATGCTTGCGTGGGCATTCACATGTAAGGCCATGAAACTTTGGCAACAAATGGATCAGTCTAGTTTTAAGAACATATGGCACGTCCTCATTAGGATATTAGATGCACAAGCTTTCATAAGTGAAATCAGGTGTAGCAAAGAGTCCTCTCGCGAGGTGGAGGTTGAGCCATATTGTTCTCGGTATAAAAAATAATAGAATCAAAATCAAAATTATTTGTAGATGTAGAATGCAAAAAATATAGGGAATGCACAAATTAATGGTATCTAAATTCACAAACTCTAATGATAGATTTCTAGAATGCCTAACTAATCTATGAAAAGTTCTATCAATTTCAGGATCAAAGGGTGGTAATGGCCCAGGATTGCCCCTAGTCATGAACTGAGTCAACTCCAATCAGCAAAAGTCAACACAATGGAACAAATGAGGGTAAACTGCAAGTATATGCAAACCTTATCCCAATGAGCTGAAATTTTGTGAGCAACACCCTAAAATCATGAAAAGATAACACAAAA